TTGAGACAGAGTCTTGCTCTGTCGCCCAGTCTGGAGTGCAGTGCTGCAGTCTCTGCTCACTGCAACCTCCACCTCCCGGATTCAATCGATTCTCCTGCCTCAGCCTCCCAAGTAGCTGGGATTATAGGCGCCCACCATCACAACCAGCTAACTTCTGTATTTTCAGTAGAGAAGGGGTTTCACCGTGATGGCCAGTCTTTTTTTTTCCTTTGAGACAGGCTCTCACTCTGTCGCCCAGGCTGGAGTGCAGTGGTGTGATCTCAGTTCACTGCAACCTCTACCTCCCGGGTTCACGCAAGTCTCCTGCTTCAGCTTCCCGAGTAGCTGGGATTACTAGCTAGGTGTGCGCCACCTTGCCTGGCTAATTTTTTTTCTTTTTTGAGACAGAATTCCGCTTTTATTGCCCAGGTTGGAGGGCAGTGGCGTGATCTCTGCTCACTGCAACCTCCACCTCCTGGGTTCAAGCAATTCTCCTGCCTCAGCCTCCCAAGTAGCTGGGATTATAGGCACCTGCCACCATGCCCGGCTAATGTTTTGTATTTTTAGTAGAGACGGGGTTTCGGGGTTTCACCATGTTGGCCAGGTTGGTCTCGAACTCCTGACCTCAGCTGATCCAACTGCCTCAACCTCCCAAAGTACTGGGATTACAGGCGTGAGCCACCTTGCCCAGCCTAATTTTTGTATTTTTAGTAGAGATGGGATTTCACCACGTTGGTCAGGCTGGTCTCAAACTTCTGACCTCAGGTGCTCCACCTGCCTTGGCCTCTCAAAGTGCTGTGATTACAGGCGTGAGCCACCTCGCCTGGCCTAATTTTTGTATTTTTAGTAGAGATGGGCTCTCACCACATTGGTCAGGCTGGTCTGAAACTTCCGACCTCAGGTGATCCATCTGCCTCAGCCTCCCATAGTGCTGGGATTACAGGCGTGAGCCACCACACCCGGCTGTACTGTGCATTTTTTAAAAAAAGGATCAGCTGCTTTGTGGACAAGGGGCTGTGGAGCGGACACAATGACAGACCAGATGAGAGGTCATTACGATAGTCCAGTGGTTAGAATCCTCAGCCAGTGGGGTAGGTAATGATGGTATTTGTTTCCAAATATATTAAATGCACATGTGAACCTATTATTTTTTAGGAAAGTCGTGACAAGCGCTACCTAATCCAGAAACTAACAGAAGCCCAAAGGGACACGAGGAACTAACTAGACTGAGCGTGAAGATGGCGCTGCCTGTTGCTTCTAAGCTGACCTAGTGATTCTGCTGAGCCTACAGAGTCTACCTGGGTTTTGAGTGGACATTTAAAAATATATTTTTCTGGAGTTTAGGCTTTTCCATACGTGCAGCTGTGTTTACCTAACCCATCCCTTAATCAGGGCTTTAGTGACTTAGAAAAGCAGGGGAAACCCAAGCCTTTGCCTGCGGACCGGCCACTCTGTGACGACTCGACCAAAAACCAACAAGCCGTTTGAGCTTTTACAAGAGTGAAAGAGCAGGGACGGTAGTGTAGTATTTGAGCCATGAGTTTATGTGAACAAGTGTTTTGGGATGTGGACTGAAGCTCAGCCTGTCAATCAGACCAGCCCATGAATATATAACAAACAGACTGGAAGCTGGTTTCGTAAACACACATATCCACATTTTTAAGGGTTGTTTGTTTTCCCGTGCTTACAATTTTTAATGCACGTGCCTTTATTTCACAAAACATGTGGCTGCGCGCAGTGGCTCACGCCTGTTATCCCAGCACTTTGGGAGGCCGAGGCGGGCAGATCACCTGAGGTGGGGAGTTCAAGACCAGTCTGACCAACATGGAGAAATCCCATCTCCACTAAAATACAAAATTAGCCGGGCATGGTGGCACATGCCTATAATGTCAGCTAGTCGGGAGGCTGAGGCAGGAGAATTGCTTGAACCCAGGAGGCAGAGTTTGCAGTGAGCCGAGATCGCACTGTTGCACTCCAGCCTGGGCAACAAGAGCAAAACTCTGTCTAAAAAAAAAAACAAATGTAGAATATCTCTTAAGATTTCCGTTATGGCAAAAACCATATGCAATAAATACCTCATTGTAAGCTTACCCAAAATGGATAGGTGTGAACCTTTTAACAGAAAAACAGAAGTTTAAGTTATTGTTTCATGTAATCAGTTTTCATTTTAATATCTTTGAAATATTTTTCAAAGCACTGTAGTTTTGTAATGAACTTTTCAAGCCTTCCTTCCATTGTTTTTCTTCCTTTCACTGGCTCCACACGTTTCCTGGGGAGTAGCCTGGAATTTAAAGTTGGGTGCAGGTTTTAGAAAGCTGTGCTGTTAACAATAATTCTCCCCACCATCTCCACTCCACTACTCAAACATGACTGACTCCTTACTCAGAGGAGCAATGATGTCTTCTCGTCCCTTTCCTACAGCCATTTTCTTGCTTTTCCACAAAGGTATTATTGAAAGTGGGATATTTTTGTAACTGGGAGACCAATGAGCTTTCTGTCTTTTCCTGACTTGTTAAGGTTTATGGGTTTCTAAATCTAATAACTACGGCCATACCACCCTGAACACACCCGATCTTGTCTAAATCTAATAACTGGTGTCATGGAATTTTGAGTAATCAAAGATTCACTCCAGTCTCACTTAAAAACATACATTCTGCGGGGCACAGTGACTCATGCCTGTAATCCCAGCACTTTGGGAGGCCAAGGCAGACAGATCACTTGAAGTCAGAAGTTTGAGACCAGCCTGGTCAACGTGGCAAGACCCCGTCTCTACTAAAAGTACAAAAATTAGCCAGGCGTGGTGGCGTGTGCCTGTAATCCTGGCTACTTGGGAGGCTGAGGCATGAGAATCACTTGAACCTGGGAGGTGGAGGCTGCAGTGAGCGAGATCGTGCCACTGCACTCCAGCCTGGGTGACAGAGGGAGACCCTATCTTAAAAAAAAAAAGATAGGTGAAAAGAAAAAAAACAAATTGTAATTGTAAACATTTCTGCCCAGTGCCTTTATATTAATATATATAACATTTTCACTGTGACCAGGCTTGATGATATTCAAGTTTTCTATTTGTATGTGTGTGTGTGTGATGAACAAAAATGTACACCTTTTTTTCCCTATTATAAAAGTGATATTGAAATATGCTAATTGATATAATTTTAGTTAAATGCTGCTAATACGCATACCTCTTACTTGAAGGTTTTTATATGTTTTGATAACTTTAATAACTTCAGGTGATGTCTGTATAATTTTTAAAGTGCAGCTCTCTCTAACAAACGTGCCTTACAACTCCTGATTAAATGGTGTCTTGAAGGTTTTAAAATGTGATCGTGTATATTGGAATTCAAAGAGGCTTCTTGTCAGCAGTCAAGTGATGATGGAAAACTGTAACAGTTTGTAAAGTTGCTCTTTGCCTTTTCCTAAAATGAGAGAGAAGAAAGAAGTGTTGAATGTAGTCCTCAGATGAGTGCTTTTAAAGCTCCTTGGCTCTGTTGAAGCCAAGGAGGGTATATGTGTGTAATTGCCCAACTGGTTCATTTTGCTTGCTGCCTGGATACAGTCCATTCATCAAGACAGATGAATTGCAACAGAGAAAGAGTTTAATTCATGCAAAACTGGCTAAACAGGAGACCAGAATAGTATTATTACTCAAATCAGTCTTCCTGAAATTTTGGAAACTGGGTTTTGTGTGTGTGTGTGTGGTTTTTTTTTTTTTTTTTTTTTTTGAGACGAAGTCTTGCTCTTGTTGCCCAGGCTGGAGTGCAATGGTGCAATATCGGCTCAGTGCAACCTATGCCTCCCAGGTTCAAGCAATTCTCCTGCCTCAGGCTCCTGAGTAGCTGGGATTATAGGCATGCACCACTACACCCGGCTAATTTTGTATTTTTAGTAGAGACGGGGTTTCTCCATGTTGGTCAGGCTGGTCTCAAACTCCCGACCTCAGGTGGTCCGCCTGTATCGGCCTCCCAAAGTGCTGGGATTACAGGTGTGAGCCACTGTGCCCGGCCGTGTGCATGTTTTGTTTCGTTTTGTTTTTGAGATGGAGTCTCACTCTATTGCCCAGGCTGGAGTGCAGTGGTGTGATCTTGGCTCACTGCAACCTGGGTTCAAGTGATTCTCCTGCCTCAGCTTCCCAACTATCTGGGACTACAGGTGTGCGCCACCATGCCCAGCTAATTTTTGTACTTTTAGTAGAGATGGGGTTTTGCCCTGTTGGCTGGGCTAGTCTGGAACGGCTGACCTCAAGTGATCCTTCCACTTTGGCCTCCCAAAGTCTGGGATTACAGGCGTGAGCCACTGTGCCTGGCGGAAACTGTTTTTTTTTATTTTTAATGGATAATCTGGTGGGTAGGCGGATGGAATTAGGGAATAGTATGCATTTTTGTTTTTTAAATTTTGTTTTGCCATTATAAAAATACTTGTTTTTTATAGCAAATACAGAGAACAGCAAAAGCAACAGAGACAAAAAGTTAAAAAGCACCATTTATGGGCACCCCTGTTAATCTTGGCAAATTTCCTTTTAAGATAGAAAGTACAGAGGGAGGGAAGTAGGACGGAGAAAGAAGGAAAGAACTTTGGTATTCTCATTTCTTTTTCACTTAATATGTGTTTTCTTTTTTCTTTTTCTTTTTTTATTTGAGACGGAGTCTCGCTCTGTGGCCCAGGCTAGAGTGTAGAGGTGCGATCTCGGCTCACTGCAACCTCCACCTCCCGAGTTCATGCCATTCTGCTGCCTCAGCCTCCCGAGAAGCTGGGACTACAGGCACCCACCACTGCGCCCAGCAAATTTTTTGTGTTTTTAGTAGAGACGGGGTTTCACCGTGGTCTCGATCTCCTGACCTCGTAATCTGCCCGCCTCAGCCTCCCAAAGTGCTGACATTACAGGCGTGAGCCACCGCGCCCGGCCATATGTGTTTTCTTGAAGAATCTAAAGATAGTGTTTTCTCCTGTTATTAAAAGCTTTTACAAACATTTCAATGGGCTACATAATATCATACAGTTAGATCTTTTTCTTTTTTTCTTTTTTTTTTTGAGCCAGAGTCTCACTCTATCGCCCAGGCTGGAATGCAGTGGTGTGATCATGGTTCAGTGCAGCCTCAGCCTCCTGGGCTCAAGTGATCCTTTTAGCCTCACAAGTAGGTGGGATCACAGGCACACACCACCATGCCTGACTAATTTTTAAAGTTTTCTGTAGAGATAGGATCTCACCATGTTGCCCAGGTTGGTCTTAAACTCCTGGGCTCAAGTGATCCTCTCGCCTCAGTCTCTCAAAGTGTTGGGATTACAGGCGTGAGCCACTGCACTCGGACATAATGTTTTGATATTCTATTGTTGCTTAACATTTTGTTTCCAAATTTTCCCAGTAATAAATAACGGGCACATCTATAAATCTTTGTCAACATTTTTTCTCCTTAGAAACAGACCTAGGCCAGGCGCGGTGGCTCACGCCTATAATCCCAGCACTTTGAGAGGACAAGGTGGGAGGATCATTTGAGGTCAGGAATTTGAGATCAGCCTGGCCAATACAGCGAAACCCAGTCTCAGTTGGGCATGGTGGTGTGTGTACCTGTAATCCCATCTACTTGGGAGGCTGAGGTAGGAGAATTGCTTGAACCCGGGAGGAAGAGGTTCCAGTGAGCCAAGATCTCCCCATTGCACTCCAGCCTGTGTGACAGAGTGAAACTCTGTCTAAAAAGAACAAAAACAAAAAATAAAACAAAAAAGGAAACAGAGACCTAGAAGAGGGATTACAGCAAAGGTTTTGAACATTTTAAGGCTTTTGAGAGCCAGATTCAGAATCCCAGTAGTTTTACATGAGAGTGCTACAACATCCTCACTAAGTAGTATTTGGGTTAATCATAATTTTAAATTATTTTGGTGTGTCAATGTGAACACTAGAGTGATATAAAAACAACTTAAAAACTTGAATTCAATAATTTTACAATTGTATTGCATCTTAAAATATTTTATAGTAAACTTGGATAAAATATATAAATAATCCAAAGGTGTAAAGTAGAAAGTGAAAGCCCCCTTCTCCCAGTTCCAGCCCCCTGATGGTGCCAATATTAAACGTTGTATATCCTTGCAGACATACATCTTTGATTTTTGCCCTCATGTACATTACTCATGTAAAAATTATTTCTGTTGAGTAGATTCCTAAGACTGCTGTATTATATGATCTTTTTAAAGTATGTTGCTAAATTTCCCCTCCCTTCCCAAAAAATTCCAATTTGCACAAATATACATGCACACATGCACACAATACAGTAAGGTAGATCCCAGAGATAAAACATGTTCTCTGTAGAAAATCTGAAAACAGAGAAAAGGACTGGGGAGAAGTTTAAAGTTGGCTTTCAGCCCACCAATAGAGACAACATTATATAACACATTAACCATGTGGTGCATGTAATTTACATAATTTATATTATATATATATTTTACATATATATATATATTTTGAGACAGGGCCCAGGCTGGAGTGCAGTGGCAGGATCACGGCTGACTGCAGCCTCGAGCTCCCGGGCTCGAGCTATTCCCCCGCCTCAGCCCCGCGAATAGCTGGGACTATAGGTGTGCTCCACCACGCCCAGCTAATTTTTAAAATTATTTGTAGAGGCGGGGTCTCGCTATGTTGCCCAGGCTTACTATTTTAAAGTGGATATAGGATGCAAACTAAAAAAAAAAAAAACCTCCTTCCACGTAGGTAAAGCAGGAAATACCGTGCCTTGTTAATAAGTAATTCCCTCATGATCCTCTTTCCCAGGAACTTGGGTGAGAAATCACTAACCCTATCCTGATCTTTGAAACAGCAATTTAGCATTTTCATCTCCCTGGCAACCCAAGGCGCCTTGGCTTCCTTGGTCTTGCGAGTGATTGATAGTGACCCCATCCAATATAATCTTTTTGTTTGTCGTATCTACCCAATCCAACCCCTAGCGCGGGGCTAGGGGGCGTTCCCACCGGTGCGCGGGCAAGCTGAGCCTGCCTTACGTCTGCTGTGCGTCATCAGTCCGAGCCAAAGGCAGTATTGGCCCGCTCCTTTCAACGAAGTGGTTGCTCTTTTGTGCCGGCAATGAGTTGCGCCGGGGCGGCGGCGGCTCCCTGCCTGTGGCGGCTGCGCCCGGGCGCCCGGCGGTCGCTCTCAGGTAAAGGGATGCGCGCAGTCACAGCCCTGCGCTGGGCTAGCAAGCTAGGGAATTTTCGCTTGAGGTTTGGGTCGAAGAGGTCACGGCGGAGACGTTCGTAACGTCACAGGCCTGCGACGGAGCGCGACTGCGTGACTTCAGCTTACGGGGCGCTGGCGGGCGGGGCGGGGCCTATAGTTCGTGGCGAGAGTGACGGGAGGACGGGGGTGGTTTCGGCAGTGATGCCTGGGGAGTGACGCATGGCACACCTGTGCAGTGATGTCACGGCAGGTGCAGCCAGCTTTCCGAGTCGAGGACAGTTGGCGACACTGAAAATTTAGCGTCTCAGGGAGTCTCTTTTTTTGTGGTCTTTGCCCAGGGCCTTGCCAGGCAAAGTGTAGCCCGACGACCAGCTGCCTCCGCTACTTCTGGGAGCTTGCTAGAAATACAGATTGTCGGGCCCCACCCCGACCTACTTGGTCGGTATCTGTGGTCTGTGAACAGGCCCTTTAGGTGATTTGCATGCACTGTAAACTTTGAGAGCCATCAGTGTAGTAGAAGGATCATCGAATTTGGAGTAGAGAGACATGGTTTAGGACCATGGTTCCTGCTTTCCTTGTTTCATCTGTGCTGCCTTAGAAAATTGTCATGAAACCGGGCGCAGTGGCTCCGGCCTGTAGTCTCAGCACTTTAGGAGGCCGAGGCTGGAGGATCACCTGAGGTCAGGAGTTTGAGACCAGCCTGGCTAACACGGTGAAACCCCGCCTCTACTAAAAATAAAAATTTGCCGGGCGTGATGGCAGGTGCCTGTAATCCCAGCTACTCAGGAGGCTGAGACAGGAGAATCAGTTGAACCCGGGAGGCAGAAGTTGCGTTGAGGCGAGATTGCACCACTGCACTCCAGCCTGGGTGTCAGAGCGAGACTTTGTCTCCCCAACCCCCGCAAAAAAAAAAAAAAAAATTTTGTCATGAGGTCGTTTTCTCTACGTTAAATTACTGTGTACCACCTTCGGGATTTTTGCCTAATGGCAATACTGCTTGAACTTTTGATTACTAGAGGTTTTTTTTTTTTTGTATAGCCCTGTCCCATTTTGAAATTAAATTAATTTCCTTGAAACGAAATCCTTCTGGTGAATGGGAAGCCAGTGCCACTTGCCACAAATGGATGAGTAATTATTTAAAAAAAAAAAAAAAACTGAAATTAAAAAGTTACGAAATTGTGTTAAATACTGTCTTTCTGTTACAAAGGGGAAATTAGCAACTGTTGGAAAGGTGTTGAGGATATGCCAGCTGTAAATGGAGATATCTTCCTTAATGAAATAAAAAAGATTGCAAGAGAATTTAAAAGAGTACCCCTTACTACATGGGGTTATTTATTGCATATCCATAAGCCACTTAAAATTTCATAGGTACCACACTGGCGTGTTTCACACGTTGGGAAAATATGGACGTAAAGTGATGCATTTGAGAGCTTCTAGCACCCAGCCTCAATTTTATTTTAAAGTGTGTGGCAATGCAGGCAAAACTCCGAGGGTTGTTGAATGTGAATTTTAATGCTGTTCTGTTCGCCAGTGAGCATAACAGAATAAGAATCATTTGTGTTTATAAAGTTACTTTGCTTCTTATATCTCATTTTATCCTCATAACTCAGTAAGATAATTTTATTATGTGTTTTCCCTTAAAAAGGAAAGAGCCTGATTATCGCCTTTTTTTTTTTTTTTAAGACAGTATCTTGCTCTGTTGCCCAGGCTGAAGTGCAGTGGTGCGATCTCAGCTCACTGCAACCTCCGCCTCCTGGGTTCAAGCGATTCTCCTGCCTCAGACTCCTAAGTAGCTGAGGCTGCAGGCATGCACCACCATGCCTGGCTAATTTTTGAATTTTAGTAGAGATGGAGTTTCGCCATGATGAGCAGGTCTCAAACTCGTGACCTCAAGTGATTCTCCCTCCTTGGCTTATCAAAGTCAGGGATTACAGGTATGAGTCACCAATGATTACTGCCAATTTTATGTGTAAGAAATGTCGATCCTGATTTTCCCAAGGCTAGTGTTGGAGATGGGACACATGTTTTTGGTTTCTTTTTTTCTTTTTTTTTTTGAGACAGAGTCTCACTGTGTCACCCAGGCTGGAGTGTAATGGCACCATCTCAGCTCACTGCAACCTCTGCCTACTGGGTTCAACTGATTGTTCTGCCTCAGCCTCCTGAGTAGCTGGGACTACAGGCGCACCACGATGGCTGGCTAATTTTTATATTTTTGGTAGAGATGGGGTTTCACCATGTTGGCCAGGCTGATCTTGAACTCCTGGTCTCAAGCAGTCCACCTGCCTGGGCTTCCCAAAGTGCTGGGATTACAGGCGTGAGCCACCGCACCGGGCCTATCCGTCTTTTGAGTCAGATATGCTCAGTGAGATGAAGGGGATCATGCCGAGGAATGGACCAAAGCTGGGTCATTATGCTTCAGAACTTACATCCACACTTCTTTATTAAAAGTGTGACATTTACAGCCCCATCTGGTAGAAGATTTCAAGTGCAGAGCCACCCCAAATTTCACCAACCCACCTCATCACCTCGTGTCCAAAACACTCAAGCCTTTGTCATGAAAGAACCACATATGTATCCAAAATGAATTTTTTCCACATATTCGCTGGATGTTGAAGTTAGCCTAAGTGAAAAGACGTACGCATTAAAGACATGGTAGTCACGGCCTAAGAGCGCTAAAACATTACAAAGTGATACCAATGCTGACTGGGGGTGGTGGCTCACGCCTGTAATCGCAGCACTTTGGGAAGCCGACATGGGAGGATTACTTGAGCTCAGGAGTTCGAGACCAGCCTGGGCAACATGGTGAAACCCTGTCTCTACTAAAATACAAAAAAGTAGCTGGGCATGATGGTGCATGCCCGTAGTCCTAGCTACTTTGGAATCCTAGCTACTCTAGAGGCTGAAACAGGAGAATTGCCTGAGTCCGAAAGGTGGAGTTTGCAGTAAGCCGAGATCATACCATTGCACTCCAGCCTGGGCGACAGAGCCAGAGTCTGTCTCAAAACAAAAAGTGATACCAGTGCAGATCGAAGCTGCCATTACAAACTAAATGACCCCTAGGTTTCTATTTTCCGTATCTGCAAAATGAGGTGAATACACCGTACACACCTAAGAATGCTGCAAAACTCTTCCTTGCAGGGAAAAAAGCCTCTTGAGTTACTCTAATATAAGGCTCAGAGAATATAATTAAAGTGTTAAGGTTAGGAGATTTATTTTTAAAGATAAAATGTAATCTGTCATGAAGAATTTACATTTTGAAGATAAGAGTTCCTTTGAATTAATTTTGGACCATAATGAGGTGAAATCTAGACTCTAAGGCTAGTCTCAAAATCGAATGCCCAAGGGTGTGGGGTTTTAAAATTTTTTCTCTGTTGTTTTGTTTGTTTGCTTGGTTTTAGACAGTCTCACTCTGTTGCCCAGACTGGAGTGCAGTGGCACGATCTCGGCTCACTGCAATCTCTGCCTCTCGGGTTCAAGCTATTCTCCTGCCTCAGCCTCCCAAGTAGCTGGGATTAAAGGCATGTACCAACACACCCCGCTAATTTTTGTATTTTTGGTAGAGATGGGGTTTCACCATGTTGGCGAGGCTGGTCTC